AGAAATCTAAATGATAGAATTTCAGTAAATGCGGAAAAAAACAGAAAAAATAGATATAGAAGTGAAGCAACTTTGTTCCAGAAAAGATCTAGCATCAATAACACTGTAATACAAAGATCAAATAACACCATGGAAATACTAAGGAAGGCGTAAGAGAGGCAAGAGAACAAAGGACACGGGGAAAATAAATGAAAAAAATGATGAAATAATGCAGAAAGGAGAAAAAACTGCGTCCTCGTGTCAAACACAGTTTAAATAACCATTGCTGCGGCATGCCATTATTTACCGACCATAAGATTCAACTAAAGCTTTCTTCAGAGAAAAAATAATGGTCCGTTGGTCATTTTATAACAAACGTCTATACTAAAGTAATGGGTTCTTTCAGTTTCTCTTCACTGACTATAAAGCAAAGAAAAAGTAGATGTGGAACAATATATATATACCCACACCCACACGCACACACGCACACACACACACACACACACACACACACACACACACACACACACACACACACCACACACACACACACACACACACACACACACACACCACACACACACACACACACACAAAGAGAACAGAAACAATCACAGTTGCTTTATGATTTTAAGGACGTACCTTAAACCAAATCATAACTAAGTACAACGAAAGACAAAAATACCCTTGATCTTGACCTCGGGAATGCCTTGGAGTGTATCATCCTGGTAGATAAAGCGGAATCTTTTACTGGGCCACAAGACGTGCGAGGGTCGTTTGTGTCAGCTAGTCCTTCGGCTTCCTAGATCACGTGAGAGAGAGAAGAGAGAGAGAGAGAGAGAGAGAGAGAGAGAGAGAGAGAGAGAGAGAGAGAGAGAGAGAGAGAGAGAGAGAGAGAGAGAGAGAGAGAGAGAGAGAAGAGAGAGAGAGAGGGGGGGACGGGGAAGACGGGGAGAGTTTTTAAGACGAAAGAAAAAGGTTATAAGTTCTTATACTGAGAAAAAACGATGGGTTCTCTGGCGATGAGGAAACGGATGAGGTAGTGAACATTAGGCATGTAAACCAGCGTGAAAGAAGGCGCCAAGACATCCATAATGGATTCTCGAGAGACGAGGGAAACAGCGGGTCATGTAGTGAGAAAAAATAAAGGGACCTTCTTGTGGTGAGGAAAATAAAGGGTCCTTTATGTGGTGAAGAAAATTTCAGGTCCTCATGTGAGCAAATCATCACGTCCTTATGTGGTGAGGAAAATAACGCGTCCTCATGTGGTGAGGAATGTAACAGGGGGGGGGGGGGGCTCGTAGAATTTTACAAAGTGAATGAGAATGTAGAAAAGGGACCACTATTGTTGAATAGTAAATCAAAATAACGGGAAAAGGGGAGTCAGAGCAGTAACGATTAACATCTTGTCCATCTTGCACTGTCGAAAAATTGAGTACACATGTAGAGAGAGAGAGAGAGAGAGAGAGAGAGAGAGAGAGAGAGAGAGAGAGAGAGAGAGAGAGAGAGAGAGAGAGAGAGAGAGAGAGAGAGGAGAGAGGAGAGAAAGAAGAGAGAGAAAGAGAGAGAGAGAAGAGCAAAGAGCAAAGAAGATTTTGGATTAAGACCTCAATGTTTATGTGGATTTGTTCCACGCTACCTATGGGTTTGGTTAGAGCACTAATTACAGAATTTCTGATTATGTTCGAGTTCATACACGTCCTTTGCCGTTTTTCTACTGTATCCTAGCTGTTGCAGATCCTGATAGCATGACGAGTTGCTGACTTCCTGACAGATTGCCAGAGTGGTTGTTCCCTGAGGACTTCACCGAGTGTTGGAATGACGTAATGGAAAGTTGTGTCCTAGCTTGATTGATGTCCACCTATTGACGGAAGATCCCTGCCTCTTCGTCCATCGGAACCAGTGTATCCCGTCTCATTAGTTGGCATTCACGTACAGGGTGATCGCTACTTAAGACATATAGATGAACCCAACGACGAGGACCTTCAGTTGTTGTTGTTTTTTTAGCATCACATAGTACCCGAATTTGCAGTGCAGATAAGACTGTTACCATATGTAAGGTATAATTCCTATCTTCTGATCCTGGCGTGTATACTGTAGAGCCGACTCGGCCATAATTCACATTATATTGCTGAGTACTGAAGAGGTTTTTCATCCCAGCGGCCCAATGCTCTGGGAGAGTTCAATTTTGTGTTTACAAGGGGTTGTATTCTCTCCCTGTGACTGTGTGTGTGTGTGTGTGTTTTTCCCCTTGTCCGACAGAAATATAGATGAGGACACATTATAACTGATTGTTGACTCTTGAAAAATCTGTTATTAGGTTTTGTCACTGTTGTTACCTAAGAGGAACCCCATAAAGGAAACAGAAAAGATATAAGGAAATGTATGAGTCAAGCTGTGCTACGCATTCCTAATGAAAAATGTATCCTCTATATAAGTATATGAGTATATGAGGAAAATATATATAAGTATATAAGTATATGAGGAAAATAGAAAATCCGAAGGTCTAGAGACATGAGGTCTATCCCAGAGCCTGGATTCCACTGCTACACAATGTCGTGCAACATCTTTGTACTGTTAGTGTCAGTCCGTGCCCAGACAATGTGGGAGTGTCGCCGCTGGCATCAGAGGCGTGACAGTGCGACCACGTGTCATCCTCTCCAAGACACCAGGATCAACTCGGGCTAATGGTTTCCACGTGGATTGCGATCGGGTAACAGTGATAATATATAAGGGTGATTATAATGATAATGATATTATCGACAATTGTAATAATAATGATACAGTCATAATAAAAAATGATGATAATAATAAGAATGATAATGGTTAGAGTAATAGTTATCTAATGTTTGTGAAATTGTTAATGAAATGCTGTACGCGGTGACATTCAAAACGATTATTTATAGTAACGCTGAAAGTGATGATTGATATTATATATACATGACTAAATAAGTGTGTGTGTGTGTGTGTGTGTGTGTGTGTGTGTGTGTGTGTGTGTTGTATGTGTGTGTGCGTTCGTGAGTCCGTGCCTGTATCTACTGTGTGTGTATATATCTGTCTACGTGTGCGTGTGTGTGTGTTTTCGTGTCTATCTACCTACCCATCTCTATCTCTTCATCTATCTATCTATTTATCTACTTATCGCGCACCCCCAGAACACCCGTCAACCCCGTCCAGGCCTCCGACCAACTCACTCACCTCCACGCTCTTCTTCCGCTTCACGCTCTGGTGCTTGAAGTTCTTGAAGGAGGAACTGCCGACGTTCCCCTGGCTGGTGTAGTTCTGCCTCTCCTGCCTCGACACCGTGACAACGATGGAGACGTAGCTGAAGAAGATGATGTTGAGCGGAAGAAGCCAAGCGGCGATGAAGAAGGAGAAGATGTAGATGCGCGTCCTGGTGGCGTGGGACAGGTAGTCGAAGCTGCGGAGAAAGAGAGAGAAAGGGAGGTGAGCAGAGAGAATGACGAGAGAGAGAGAGAGAGAGAGAGAGATGAGATGAGAGAGAGATAAGTGGGAGACAAGAGAGAGAAGGAGATAAGAGAGAGAGAGATAAGAAGAGAGAGAGAGAGAAGGAAGAGTGAGAGAGAGAGAGAGAGAGAGATAATCGAGAGAAAGGGGAGACGACGAGATGAGAGAGAGGAGAAGAGATAAAGAGAAGGAGAACAAGAGAGAGAGAGAGAGAGAGATAAGTCGAGAAACGGAGAAAGAGAGAGGAGAAATGGGAGACAAGACGAGAGAGAGAGAAACAGAGAGAGTTAAGTCGAAGATGAGAAAGAGAGAGAGAAGATGAGAGAAGAGATAAGTCGAGAGAATGAACAAGATTGAGAGAAAGAAAGATAGTCGAAAAAAAGACAAGAGAGAGAGAAAGAAAGAGAGAAAGCAGGTTAAGACGAGAAAGGAGAGAAAGAGAGACACATAGGGCGAGAGAAGAAAGATAGAAAGAGAAAAGAGATAAGTCGAGAGAAAGGGAGACAAGTCAGAAAGAAAACAGAAGAGAGAGAGAGGAAAGAGATAATCGAAAGAAAGATGAGACAAGTTAAGAGAAAAAGAAAGAGAGGAGAGAGAGAGAAGTCGAAAGACAGAGAGAGAGAGATATAATCGAGAGAATGGGACAAGACGAGAGAAGAGAAAGAGAAGATAAGTCGAAACAGAGAAGAAGAGATATCGAGGAATGGGAGACAAGACGAGAGAAAGAAAGAGAGATAAGTCGAGAGAAAGAGATAGAGACAGAAGAAAGAGAGAGAGAGAAAGAATGAGAAGTAGAGACAAGTCGAGAAAAAGAAAGGAGAGAAAGAGAGAGAGAAAGAGAGAAAAAAGAGAATTTCGGAGAGAGAAAGAGTGATAAGACGAAAAAAAAGAGAAAGAGAGAGAGAGAAACGAGAGAAAGAGAGTAAGAGAGAGAGAAACATGAGGATAGAGCCGACGTCAAATTACAGGGGTTGGGGGGAAGGGGTGAGGGGGATGCCTTCCTAATATTAAGAAGTATTCATGCATGTTATTCCTTGCGTAATATATTTATAAACATGAGGGGGGGGGGGGTTGGAGAGACCTCTCCTCTTCAGCTACTTCTTCTTTCCTCTTAATTATCATAAATATTATTATCATTATCATGTTATGACTATTATCAACGTCATTTTTATTGTATGTTGTTGTTGTGTGTCGTAATTATCATATTTTTTTATTATCATTCTTGTTGTTATTATTATGAACCGTATATTCGTGAACAAATGTAAAAAAAAGTATGAATGGGAATATTAACAATATTATTATCTTTATTGTTATCACTATCATTATCTTTATTATCATTATTATTATTATTAATTATTATTATTATTATTATTATTATTATTATTATTACAGATGTATACTCATTATCATTCACACCTTTTCTACATTATTGTTATCATAGTAATAATAACAATTATCTTTATCAACACTTATTATATTATTATTATTATTATTATTGTTATATCACTATCACTATCATCATAATCATTATTGTAATTTCTTTTACTATCATCATCATTATTATAATTGTTATCATTATTACCATTGTTATTCTTACCATATTATTATTACTATTATTCATTAATAATGATTGTATTATTTATTATCCTCATCATCATCATTATTACTATTACTTTTATAATCATCATTATTATCATCATTATTATGAAATATCAATATCAATATTAGTATTATTATCAATATTGTTATTGTTAGGATTATTATAAACATTAATATAATTTCATATATCATATTTTAACATCACTGTTACTATAATTTTTTTCTCACCATTATTATCATTAGTATCATTTTTATTGTGTATGTGTGATGTATATATATATATATATATATATATATATATAATATATATATATATACATATAATTATATATATAAATCTATCTATATCTATAATTATTTTCTTATTTATCTATATATATTATATACATATTGATAGATAAATAGACAGAGATAGATTTTTTCTCTTTCCTATTGAAAAGATGAATATAGCAAAATTACATACGATGAAAAGAGTAACGCAAATATTAATATAAAAACAAAGAAATACACAAAGGGAAACGCACTTAAAAAAAAACATAAACATGAAAAAAAGAATACACACAGCCTCATAAACAAAAAGAATTTCTCCCGTACGCGTGCCTGTACACACATAAACACAAAAAAGGGTAATATACACGAAAGACACAACCATAGAGAATGGAAGAGAAGGCCCTAAAAACACACACACGTATACATACCTGCAAGACGTGAGGTAACCTTCTGGAGTATAGTTGATGCCCACAATACCAAGTAGCGGAATGCTTGAGAAGATGCTGCTGTAGATCCACGTAGCTATTATTATCACCAGCACCTGGATGGGAGCACAGGGAGGTAGTGATTATGTAAAGTGCGACGGTATTTTCCCATCTGAAGAGAGGTGTATATATATTTTTTTCTCTCTCTCTTTTCTTCTCTCCCTTTTTTTAAAAATGCGTGTGAGGTGCTCTGAGCGAGGGCTATGTCTGTGTGTGTGTGTCTGAAGACCTGGTGTGTTTGTGTGTGTGGTGGTGTGTGTGTGTGTGTGTGTGTGTTGTGTTGTGTGTTGTGTGTGTTTGTGTTTGTGTATGTGTATGTGTGTGTGAGTGGGTATTGTGTATGCCAGAACTGCTAAATACTTATATGCATTAAAGAATAAAAGCTGCTAATACATCAACAAGATTTTGTTATAAAACTTGACACAGTCTCCAACAAATGCAACTCATTCAATTCTGATTGACATTAGCATTAAAATCCATCTGTTTTATTTCTTCTTTTCTTATTCTTCGTTGTAACATTATTACATTAATATCGCAACTTCTACGCTCCGACAAGACAGAGAAAACGAAAATCTGATATACATACATACATACATACACAAAAACATGTATAACTTCATCCATTTCAGAGTCTGGATGATCCGACAAGTACTCTCCGTAGAACAGCGAGAAAACTACCCTCCGGACTAACCCCCAAGCATCATCCTGTGGAACTTGGGATGCTGTTAACATTCCCCAAATAGTTTTTTTTTTTCGCCTTGGCATGGCCCTCACGCGTGGCCCTGACTGCACACACCCAAGTGATTCTGAGGCTGTAGCTATGTACTACGCCTCGCACAGAGGGTCGAAAGTCGCAGCACCTTTAATATCAGTGGTTCAGTAGTTGCCAGGTATAAAGAAAGAAAGAAAACTAGAGAATTGTCTTTGTTAAATATTACAAAGAACTAATTACGTGTCATTACCGTATATTGTGCAAGTCATTCAAACTACATGATCTCATTCATTACTCACTAATAATTCATGGTGCAAAAATTCCTCCCTATTGTTTAAACAGAACTTTTTTTATAGTCACTAGACTCTTTTCAACTAAATTGGATACCAGGACATAGATTGTTTGCTAAATAAGTATTTCATGGCTTATATAGTAATTACTTATCCCGTACCTCTTCTCTGCTCATCTCTCTCTCTCTCTTCTCTCTCTCCTCTTTCTCTTCTCTTTTTTCTCTCTCCTCCTCTCTCCCCCCTCTCTCTATCTCCTTCTCCTTTTTCTATTTACTTTTCTCCTCCAGTCTCTCCCTCTCTCTCCTCACTCCCTCTTTCTCGTCTCTCTCTCTCTCTCTCTCTCCCTCTCTCTCTCTTCATCTCTCTCGTCTTCTTCCTGCTGCTCTCTTCTCGGGTGTCGTCTCTCTCTTCTCTCTCTCTCTGCTCTTCTCTCTCGTCTCTATCTACTCTCTGTCTCTTATCATCATCTCCTCTATCCTTATCCTCTCCCCCTCCTCTCTCTCTCTTCTCTCTCTCTCTCTCTCTCTCTTCTCATCTCTTAGATCTGCTCTCATCTCTTTCCAATCTCACCATCTATCAAACTCCCACTCACTCTCTCTCTTCTCCTATCGTCGTCTATCATACCCTCCTCCTCCTGCTTTCCCCAACCATCTCACTTCCGGACTCTCTGCTTCCTTATCTCTATTTTCTTTTCTTT